ATAAAAATATTTAAAAAAAAAACAAAAAAACAAAGCAGAAGCAGAAAAAAATCTGGCTCGTTACTGGCTCCATAACTCGGGGTGAGCAAACACTTCTATAGACCCACTTCTCTTATCTGCAAATGGGAAAGTCTTCTCAGAGGCAGTGTGAGTTCAAACAGGAAGGCCTGGATGTGCCGAGACAACAACCGTCTCTTCCTCAGTGGTTCCTGAGTCCTCCAACTCTGACCTCATATTTGAGGTGCCCATCTTCATCTGTGGCATTTGGAGGCAGGGGAGGTGCTGGCAGGACTGGACTGTGGATGCTGAATGCTCAGTTATCAGAAACAAACGGGAGTCCACAGTCCCTGTAGAGAGGAGTCAGTCAGAAGAGCTCACGTGAGCAGAGTGGGGGAGTGAAGAAAGGGAGCAGAGGCAAAAAGACCTCAGAGCAGGTGTCAAGAGACCTGATTTTAAGTACGGTCAACTGCTAACTACAGTACAGCTTTATGCAAGTCACTTTTATCTATGAGATAAGCCTCTCATTTGAAAAAAAAAAAAAAAACAGGAGGAAGACCAAGGTCTATTTCCTAGTCTAGTAGTGGTAGTAATTACGCGATTAGTGAAAACAGTGAGATAAGACTAACTACAAATGCCCCCCCCACCAGCTCTAGGGAGCCAGCAGCAGCTTAAGAATGACCAAGTCTGCATCCAAAGCTACAATATATCTAATATACACAGGTGACTTTCTAACAACGAAGGAGGTTGCAACGGCTTCTTAAGTCTTTTGGGGGAGCCTTTCTGCTATTGATGGCAATCTTAGGAAACATGGGGTTCCAGGTTTACTTAACAATGACCACAGCACTCCAAGCTAGAGACGCAGGAGTATAGAGCGCGTGCGGTTCTCTGGGTCTCCGTCACCCTTCTTGGAGCAGCTCTGCTTTCCTTCTGTCAGCAGTACATGCTGGGGGCCCTTCAGGGGAGCGCATCTGAATAAGCATACCATGTGGTCCAGGGAAGGATTTGAGGGGAGACACAATGGTTTACACCCTAGTCCTCCCAGATTCTCCTAGGAAGAGGAATGACAGTACTTTTATCAGGACAATGAATGGAATAACATATGAAGTTCTTAGCATTATATTGCATCTGGCTTTTGATAAGTGGTTCCTACATCTGCCATATTCCTAGCACACAGAGATGCTCCCTCACTGTCCAGTCAAGGAAGAGAAGCACTCATTGGGAAATGGGCAGCTACAGAGACTGAGAGGAAGAAGTAAAGTGTTTTAGATCCCAAATACTAGTATTTAAGGGTTCTGCCTTTTTCTGTTTTCTTGATTCCTCTGACCCCAAGGTTACATCAATTCTTGGCATGCTATATGATGAACCATCAAAGGTTCTTTCCTTTTGGGGTGGCCCCAGGTAGCACTTTTTGAGGTGGGACCCAGGCTACTCAAGTGGCTGTCCCAGGGAGGAGCACTTCACTGTAGTCAAGGACTAAATTCCTAGCTTGAAGAGCTGTGTGGAATTCTTCTGTGTTCTCTTAGGGAGCTTCTGGAGCCCGCGGCAGCAGCAGGTCTCATTAAGAAAGAGATTACAAATTCAGAGATCTGGACACCAATCAAACAGCATCACTACTGAACCATGTGCGTGCTTCATCTGCTGAGACCTACGTTATTGAACGAAATATGAAAAAGGACAACACAAACAGGGGTTGGCACAAATGCCAGGAGAGCTCAAGAAATATTTATGAAATGAATAAAGTAATGGGGCTTGAACACGTGAAAAAAATATGCCTTAGATTTCTATACCACAAGAGTAAATGAAAATCTAAAGTATCAAAAGGGGCTTCACTTAATTTATGTGAATAAATTGTCTCATTAAAAAGTGTCTTCTTACTAGCAGAAGCCTCAATAATCCCTGACTTGGTTTGGCAGAGAGGAAGTTAGGTTCTGCCACTACTGGCCTTCCTTTCACTCTGAGCTTTACTCCCATTATTATGGGAAGAACAACTGCCCTGATCATTCTCAGATAACAGAATATACTCTCCAAACTAAAGGGCAATACTCACTTAAGGTCCAACCATAAAGATGCCTATCTGCTTATCACTCTGTGCTGGCCAGTACCACCCTTCCCACCAGGAATCTTCTGCTTCTGCAAATCTCTGTAGTTCAAGGTCTAGCTCCCCACCCTACCCTTCCACCTAGCTCTTGCTCCTTTTCTCTGTTCCTTTCCAACTGCCATTTGATTATTGTTCAGGAAGAGAGAGAGACTGGCAGTGGAGTGTCTGCCCCAAGCCTCATCAAAGATGAGGATGATGCCGTGGTTACAGATGTGTGAGAGTAGATGAGAACATTCGTGTAAAGAGCCTTGCACGCTCCACTCAAACATCCGCTGTTGTGATTGCCGCATAGTGCACCTCACTGCTGCCGGAACGGTCTTACCCCTACATCCCTCAAAGGACGTCAGTCCACAGAGCAGGGCCCCTGTCCTGTTCATTTCTGATCCCACTCACATTTCAGGAAAGGGGCTCAGCTCACAGTTTTTCCTCACAGAAACACTTGTTGAGTTGGCTAAATAAGTTGTTTTCCTTCAAACAGTGCTCAAATCTTCACTGTAGTTTCATAGAGCTGCCTTCAGAAAGTCAAAGTCCACAGGGTAAAGTTACCTCTTACAACCCTTAATCAAATCAAAAACATGTGAGTAATTCCCAAAGCACTCACACAGCCATCATTCTAGGGAGCTACTTTACCACACTGGATATATTACATTAGTTAGCTGCCCAAAAATATTTCAAAGAAATAGATTTGATGTGGGAAGCTCTGCCAAACTCTAGGGTACTCTCTAGTCCCCTGAGACACATATTTAAATCTTATAGATGCAGAGTGTTACGGAGAATACACATGTCTGAACAGAGAAAGTACTATGTTGATTGGGAGCTGTGCACTAGTTCTTCCTACAGGTACACAGTTAGTGCTTAAGTATCACACTCTCCTAGGTCCACAGCCTAAGTAATACTAGGAACAGGTTACAGCAATTTATGAGATAAGCCATATAAATCTATGTTTGAAGAAGAGTAACATGAACTGTAACACAGTGAACAACAAAATTCTTAATTTCAGATGTTATCTGGAGCCTTTTCTTGCTCTAGAAATCATGTGTCCAAATCATCTGCACTTCTTAATTGACCTGGAGGGTCTCTGGGAACCATATCTGATCTTCCCCGGAAGAGGTACTTACTCCTCTCTAAGCTCCTGCTGGCAAAGGCCTTCTACAAACCATTTTCAAGGTGAGCCCCACTCCACGCCTGGCTCTTTAGCGGTATTCGTTCAGCTTCAGTTCAGATAAGAAAGGACATCCGCCCTGCCCAAGAGCCTGCATCTGACTGAATCGCACCCCACTCTTCTTTGTTCTTCCAGCCTCACAATTTGATTACTATCTAACATCACCACTATTCTTCGAGCAACTAATAGGCATGAGCTTACAGCAGGCCTGGGCTGCACAAGAACTAAATCCAGAACACGGTGTTCCACTGACACGAGAAATGTAAAATTTCTAGCAGAAGGCAAATTCACTTTCTCGAGTGGTCCTTAAAGAACTCATCTGACCCAGGTTAGCGCTCTGAGGAGAGCCCAAAAGGAGACACGTCTCTTTCTGGGCCACAGCGTCTCTCTTGATTTTGGTGGTCAGTGCTCATGACAGCCAACAGGGGTGGTGCTAGCCTTGGGAATATTCTGTCTTAGTGCCTATGATGATCCTTATGGTAGGAACTGTTCATGTCCCCCAATTCCACCTTTCTACGTGTGACTTCTGCCTGGCCCTTTGTACTTCTGCTCCCTTTCTCTTCCTTAGACCAAAACAGAGAGAAAGCACACTACACTCTCCAGACGTTAAAATGTTTCTATCAGAAAAAAGTGCCAATCTGGGTCTATGCAGCAATTCAGCCACAGGTATACCCATCCCCAGTCACTGGGTGGTTCTGGTCCTTGCTCTCAAGCCCTCGTACCCTGGCTTCCTCACAACGGCCTGCTTCCTGGCTATGCAGCACCTGGCTCTCGACCTACTACTACCTGGGGTTGTAGAGTCCAGGATGGGCAAAGCTGAAGCCAAATGTCACTGTTTACCCCATACTTTGCCTGGTTAAGCACTTTGAGAGGAAGCATCCTAGACAGTTTGATTTGGGGCTCAAAGGCTGCAGATACCAACTGATAGGCAAGATTCTTCACGTATGTACTTTAGGCCCACATTACACCTGGCAAACAGGCTACGGTACCTGTCAGAAGGGTTGGAGGATGCTGCCTTTGCTCTGTCTACCCCTGAGGTAGGCAAACCAGGAAGGATGGCAGCAGGTGAAAGGCCTCTTCTCTCTGACCCCAGATGTCAGTGAGAAGGACGCAGTTAGGAAACAAAACGCTGTTCGGTAGCAACTGGCACTACGAGGAGGTGGTTAGGCGGACAATCACACTTTTATCCTCCTTACGCTTTCTGACTAAAGATTTAATTTAATTTTGTCATGCCAGGATTAGCAACCAGGCCATAGAGGTGAAGGGACATTATAATAAGACAGCACATTAATCCTCTATCCCACCCAAGGCAGAAGCAAAACCAAACAAATAGCAGCTTCCTGGAAATTGAATTTCTGTTATCCAGATGTCAAAGATGTAATACCCCAATTACACAAACTATTGCCAGTGAAGCATGCCAGCGAATACGCAATGGAAATGGGGTGGGCACCGAGCGACAAAACTGCGCAGTCAGCATCTGGCTCTGTGACTGAGTGATAATTAGCACTGTGTGTAGACACTAATAAACATTTATGTCTGAAATTACAACTTTTAGCAATGTTAATAAGGGATATATTGGCAATCTGTAAAATAAAAGGTCTTGAAAAGAATGTCATACATTAAGCAGCGGCAGACATTTCCCGTTCTTACACAATCTCTCCCCCCCCCCTCCTGCCCCTGAAGCTGCAAATGGCCACACCATGCTGTTTTGCTGGGAAATTAATTGACATAGGAACCTACCTAAAAAAATGGGTTGTGTTTCTTTGGTCTCCCCATTAACATCGTGGCTGAATTCTGAGATCTTATACACCTCATGGTGATAATCTGGCACAAGAAAACAACCGAAAATTAGAATTTTAATGGCTTCAAGAAGTAATAATAAGCAGTTAAAGATTCCCGTTCTCTATATGTATAATATATAGGAACAATTTCAAGAACTCTCGCAGAGACTGTGGTCAACGAAAACCACTCAAACTTTGCTCCCTGGGAAGTACACAAACTTGAACGATCACTCTGACTTTACACAACGGCTATGCGTGGCTAGAGTTTTCACAGTGAAGTTTGCCCTCAGATAGCAAGTACCAGGTTTCTTTTCTTTGAGAGAGCAAACATATTTCTAAGAAAAAGAACAATCTTGCCGAACCTCAGGCCAGGGGAGTTTCCCAAATGTATTTCCACAACCCATTTTCATGAGCATATCAATAGTAGCGTGCCTCCGAACTGTCTCTTGACTCAGGTACTCAAAGAATCTCAGCTTAAAAGTAAGCACATTAAAAAAAAAAAAAAAAAGATACTGATGTGCTATTTCAAAAAAAAGTATACTTTGAGAAGCAAGATTCTTCCCTTTCACATAAATGAATCTTTTGCATTCAACCACTGTGCTTTATTGAACATGCAATAGTTTATCTTGCAAAAAAAAAAAAAAAAACCCTGAAAAGCACCTGCACAGCAGAATCGGACGTCATAAGAAAGGAAGGAAGGAAGGAAGGAAGGAAGGAAGGAAGGAACGAAGGAACGAAGGAAGGAAAGAAAGAAAGGAAGGAAGGAAGAAAGAAAGAAAATGAAAAAAGGAAGAACTATGTCCATCCAATTCTCAAATACATCTTAGGACCTCCTGTGGAAGCTACAGCACTTTGGCAATGAAGTTCTTTACAAAGCAGGACCACTCGGGTGCGAAAATAGATGTCTCTTTTCATCAACAATCCAAGCTGTGGGTGGGTTTGTTTGCCTTAGATGGCACAGGACAAAATGGCAAAACTACCCTCTCTTTTAAGATAGAGTAAGTAGTAAGTTGCCTGAGGTCATAAATAAGAAAGCAGCTTCCACTCCCGAATGGAGCACATGGGTTGTATCAAATGGGCCAAAGATTTACAAACTACAAAAAAACGGAGTCATCAATGGCCTTGTTAGTGGGGTGGGGTGTACCAAGAAAGAGTAGCCAAATATTTTGAATACACACACTATTTCAGGCCTCTATCATTAAACAGCACAAAACTAAATTAGGGGAAACACAGATGGGCAGATCCTCAAAATGTCTATAATTAAACCATTTCCAGACTGACGAAAAGTGGGCTTTACAGAATCCCCGGTTCAGATTAGCTGAGTCTGGAAAACTCGACGGTTTGAAACCACCCTCCAAGTCCATTTGCTTGCTCGTGACTTCTGCAGGCCCTTGGAACAATCATGTGCCTCTCCACTCTGATGCCAACGCTAGATAAAAACCACCCAGGGAAAGTGGACAGGTTCTGTGATTTGGCTTTGACCTCAAAGATACCTACAGAGGGTGGGTTGAAACTAAGTATTAGGACCTGTGCCATTACCATGGGGGCCGGGGTCACCCCTTTCATATATTGAGGCAACACACGACATTTTGACAGGTGTATTCCTTATCTTGGGGTTGCCATCATTTTTTTAAAAAGACTCAAATCAGGAAGATAGGTTAGAATAAGTAACAGAACCCAGTGAAGACATTATTCAACTTTCTCCTCCCTAGACAAGATAAAAGCATGGAGACTGTGCTGTACACCTGTTAGTCGGCAGGACCTAGCTGGATTTTTTCCTTCTTTCTTTCTTGTAATGACACTTGTCTGACTGGTATACTATCTAGTCTTAAAACACATAGAAAAGATGCTGTATGACAACAATTTCTGTTTTGAGCTTGGATCCCTAACGAGCTGATTCTTCTTAAAAAGAACAATGATCATCTTTCTCTCCCCCCCCCCCCTCCTTCTCTTTGCGGGGCGGGGGGAAAAAGAGGAAAACAAAAACAAATCCCAGTATAAGCTCGGCCTGCCGGCCAGGCAAACCCTGAGCCACCCCAGCCCAGCGGCGGCCGCGGCGGCGGCACCCCCGAGCGGGCTCGGCTCCCCGGTGTCATTGTTTGCTAATTTCCTGACGTGCCCTCCGACTTGTTTACCTTCAATAACACCCCATGGGTCCCCTCAGGCACAACTTTCCCCGCGGCGGGGCGTGTGTGGCCCACGG